TTGAAGAATATGTAGATTATATTTTTGTGCATCTATTTTAGGACTAAATGAAGTAAATTGCATATTTGCTGTAATATCACGATGATACATACAGATAGCAACTTTAATAAGTGATAGAACACCAGCTGCACCTTCTGTATGTCCTAAATTACTTTTAATTAAATCTAATAATAATGGTGGATCAAGATTTGATTGATTAAAGAATCGATCTAAACAATTAGCTTCAATTGGATCGCCATCACGTTCAGCATCACTTAATTGTTTTAATAGCAAAACACAAAGACCATCATCTAGACACAATATTTAAATTGAAATGTATTTCTAAATAAAAAAACTAATCAACTGAATTCTTTACCTTTAGCATAACTATTAGCATCAACACTAAATGATCGACTTCTTCCACCAGGTGATTATGCACCAATAAATGAATGTTGTAGAAAACTTTCTGGTGTAAGAATCCATTAACACCACTACATACAGCCAAATCAGCTTCATTTGTACGAAGACATTGCACAGCCATATGTAAAGTTTCTCAAGAAGATGAACAAGCAGCATCTGATGATACATTTGGATCATGTAAATTAAAATGGTATAATAAACTATTAGGTCCATAAAATCTTGATTCGATGTTCAGGTCTCATACGAGCTGCTGCAATTGCATGATCTGTTGAAAATTGTCCAATATGCACTGATGTTTTTGTACCATTGATTTTGTCAATACTATATCCAGCACCATCAAGTAAATCAATAAATTTTAATATAAGTAATCTATGACATGGATCAACACTTCCTGCTTCAAACATTTTCCATTGTTGATTTGACAAAGTAACCAACACGAAGAAGTTTTTGATGAAATTGTCCATTATTATCCATATTAATCATATGAGCAGTAAATGATTCAAGATCAAATCGATCAATTGTTGTTGCACTACCAGCATCTCGACTTTCTTTCAATGTATACCATAGATCATTTGCACGATGAATATCACCTGCGAATTCACATGCTATACCTATAACAGCTATTGGTTCTAGAAGGGTGTTGGAGGATGTCATTTTAACTTGTTAAAGATGGTTCAATTGCCCAATGCAGGAATTAAAGTAAACTGTTAAGTTTTTTTTATCTAAAATGAAAAATTTGAGGAACACATTATATTAGGAACATGACATCAAAGTGGAAGATATTTAGCTATTTCGATATAACAACTAAAAACACATCAATATTGTTCTAGGCTTTTTTTGGTTCGCTTGTAGACCATCTTTCATGTTGGGTGTGGGTAAGGAGTTGGTAGATGTTGTACTTATCTCTAAAGTATGTCTATCTCATCCACTTCACCCACCCTCAAACTATAAAATACTTTAAAAATGAGAAAACAAACTAGAGATATTAAGATTAATAAATGTTTGCATAATAGTTGAATGCATATTAGTAGATAAATCTCCAATATTTAAATCAAGTTTTTGATTATCACAACTGATCGTAATAATGGTATCTATTTGTGATGAAAACAATACCTATGCTCTTAATTAAAGAAAAAAACATTATATAAATAAGATAAATTACTGAAAAGAAAATTTTTCATTGTTTGAAATCTTGAAAATTAGTTCCATAAAAACTTCAATCTTTTGTTGGAGAGGAAGTTTTTGTTTCACCATTCACATTAACCATATGTATTGAAAACACTAACTATTAAGTATATAAATATACGTATATTTATTTAAATTATTTTTACTAGATAATTTAACTTTCATTAAATACAAAATAATCAGAACTAGTTTTATTTTGATCTTGAAGTAAAATAGTTTGAGAAAGACTGAAAATAAATTCAGTTCTTATTTTTATGTCAGATGAAATAGAATATTTAGATGAATCTAATGGAAAATAAATCGATAAAATTATTAAAAATATCTTGAAATAAAAAATCTCTACCTTATTTTATTATATTTGTTAAATTGAAGATTCGTGTTAAATATTGATGTATTTTATTGAACATTAGTGTTTGTTAATAAAACTCGAAATTGTTTTTTTCGAACATCATGTAATAATAAATGTTGAATTTAATAATAAATTAAAATTTATTTCAATTAATTGAATTATTAAATAAAGAAATTTAGAGTTTTCATTTCGAGTTATATAATTATTGTAAAGATCTATTTGAGAATAATAAAGTCTTCAATAAATTTGTTTTCATTGAAAACTAAACCAAATTTTTCATAAACATTCGTATCTTCTTGTAAATCTTATTTTTTGAGAAATATATTTTGATGATTTTATGTATTTAATTTCAATTCGTTCTTTTTTTTCTTCTTCTTCTTGAGTATTATAAATTTTTGGAAGTTGGTAAAAAACATTTTCATTAAAAATTTGATTAATAAAATGCATAATTATTAATTCCATTGGAATCATTTTGTGAATTTAAAGGACGATTAATCGATAGTACAAATGAGAAATATCCTAACAAAATTATTTTATTAATGAATTCATTTTTATTATTTTAAATAAAACGACTCATCGAAAAGCTTACAAATATAAATCGATGTTGTTTAATAGATGAAGAATTTTTCTTATCACTTGAATCTGTATCCATTTGTAATTTTTCCAAATAAATTAAAATATTTTTATTTGAATATGTATTCATTAGAATGAGTATTTGCGAAGCATTTAATGTAAAATCTGTTTTAAATTCAATTGAATATTCATCATATTTTTGTAAAATTTATGAAAGAAAACTTGATTCATTACAAGATGTACCTCTATCTTGTTGTTGTTGTTGTTGTTGATTTGTTTCAAAAATGAATTAATTAATGATGATATAAATTGAAGATATTTCTAAAGAAAAAGAAAATTTTTTTTTGAATTTGACCTTGAATAAATAAGTATTGTTCTTCAATTTTTCTTTCATAATTAAATGAAGATAAATTAAATGTAACTGGATTATTTTATTTATTTTCTTCTAAAATAATATATTGATAAAGAGATTTTATATAAAGATCAATAACATCTTGAGGGTGTGTGTATGAGTAGTATAGATATAACATACCCTTCTGTTGAACCATTTGATTCAATACTATAAGTTTTTATATTTGATGATGCGTCAATGACTTCAAATAAAATATGTAAAAATTCTTCTATATAATCTATTAAATCTAATAATGCACGTAGCAAAATAATATCAATCTAAAATGAATAATTTAATATAAAATTGAGTTTAAGATGTGTTATTTGTTGTCGAGATCAGTTTTAATATCAATTTGTTTTTCAATATTTTGCTTTTCTTCTTGAAGAATTTTTTGAACAGCTATCATTTTTTCAATTGTATCATATTTTTCTTTTGCATTTGTTTAATATTTTTAATCTTTTGATTTTGATTTCTATTAGTTTACAAAAATAATATAGAATAAAACAAAATAAAATAAAGAACAAACTTGATTTTGTTTTTATTGTTTCTGATCAAATATTTTTGGATATAGAATTGTTTTTATTAATTTTAATAAACCAAATAAATGTGTATCAAACATTCGACATTTAATCAGTGAAATATTTCCATTTGCTTTTCAACTTAAAATAAATAAATAAATAATAATAATAATTTCTCATTTTCTTTTCCACACTAAATACAAGGATCTCATAATATTCCGAAGAATCTGGATATATGCTCAATTTCATAAACATTTATAGAAAAAAAGCTTCTTGGTTACTTTGAATATTGATATCTTACCTCTAAGTATAAAACAAGATAAATGTGGGCTTTTTAATTCTTCTTCAAACTTAAATACACGACTCCAGTCATATTATATAATAATCGATATATTTGTCACCTAATTCTTCATTTTCGCAAGCTCACGCTTTAATCAGGATACGTCTTTATTTTGCCTTACAATACGAAAAAGGTAAATGCATATTTTTTTCGTCCATACTAGATGAACGATTCCCGTCATATTTTTAAATAGTTGGATACATATCTTATTACGTCGACATTTATATTATGCGTAGAAACAAACTTTTACTGTTGCTCAACACGTAATTACATTAAAAATAAAGAAAATTGAGAGTGTGGGTAGACGTTTATGTACAACCTCCTCGCAACGTGACTCATTCTTGAATATGTCGATACCTTTATGAATTATTTGTATTATCATGTTTTTTCTTTATTTCTGTCTATATTTTTAAGTCAATTGATGGATTTCGTACAAAATTATCTTATTGTATATATAAAACAAATGAGCTAATCTCACTATATGTTCTCTATGAATTTTTCTAAACAAACATTTCTTATATATTGAAAATATATTTGTCCATTGATTTATTAACAACCTATTGGAACATACACTTCTTAGACTATCCAATATTTCTAATTCTAAAATCATTCTTTGGAGATATTTCTACTATTTTCAATGCTAGTTGGTTTGTATCAGATTTATGTATGAAACTCATTATTTTTCAACTTATCTTCAATAATAAACAGAATAATAAAATAATTCATATTATATATCTGATCTATTTTTTATTGATTAAATCTACTAGTATTCGTTGGTGATATGCATCGTCTCATTCGAAGAATCAACCAGTATCGTCACAAACTTTTCTCTTCTTCAACAAACTACATTTAAGTTTATTTTTATTTGAATATCATTTGGTTTATTATTTTATTTTTATAGAATTATCTATCTTGTACAAAATGAAGAATATCAACAGTTACTATTTACAGAAAGAAACTTTTGTTCAACTTTTATTACTATATCTTTGGTTGATCAGTATTATAAATATAATATTGAATATTTATATTATAATGCTAAAGTTAAATTTACACCAACTCGGATACTTATTTTCGAATCGATTATTGGTATTTATATTTACATATTTATTGCGAAATCTATTAATAAGAATTGTATTTTACTTATAAGTAGTAATGAAACACATCATATTATGTGTCTATATTTTATTCGAAATATTATAACAATTATAATGTTTGGCGATAGATAGTTTGGAGTTTTGGAAAGCCGATGCAAGCTATGAACACAATTCAGAAATGAATTGAACTCTTTTCATTAGTTAGAACACATTAACTTCAATTTTCTTCGACTATCTACATTTGTCAATTATTACAGAAAAAGACTAAAGTAACTTCAAATGAATTGAAACTGTAAACTTACATGACTTGCTTATCTTTTGTACATTAGAATAGAAACTATGTAATATAAAGAGTTTCTTATAATCACATTTTCTTTTTTCGGTGTTATTTAACTAGAAGAAAATAATTTGAACTTATTTATTTTTGTGTTCTATGTTCTTTACACTGTACTTTTTTTTGTTAATCTTCTATTTTTTACTTATTATATTCTTTTCATGAATTCAATTCTTATCTTAATAAAATCATAGTCAAATTTAACAGACTAATTCCTTTTTTATTTATAACACTTTAAATTTTCGTTAAAGTGTTACTTGAAATCATTATGGTTCGTTATATTTATAACTTTTGTTTAGTTTTAATCTAAGAAACTGTAGATCTTCATCACAAAGGTGATACTTTTGAAATAGTAGTTACTTTGAGACTAACTGAGAAATAAAAGTCTACATATACGTCAAATAATTCACATCACAAAATCAATATGTATGAATTGAATTTGAACTATTATATTGTCATGTGTACTCATGTGAAATATTAGTATATTACTGTTCACGTATCGTGCCAGAATATTTTAACAATTATATCTGTATATTTCTGATTTTCAAGATGCTAATTACTCTATTTTCGAGTTGTTGTTATATTACTATTCTGACATTATTGAGATATTCAGAAATGT